TGCCCTGGGCAGGGACACCTCCCACCAGAGCAGGTTGCTCAAGGCTTTATCCAACCTGGCTCTGAACACTGCCAGGGTTGGGGCATCCACAGCCTCCCTGGGCAACCTGTGCCAGTGTCTCACCACCCTCACAGGGAAAACTTCTTCCTAATATCTAATCTAAACTTCCCTCTTTCAATTTATGCCCATCAGGTATCAATAAGTGGAATGTTAGATTTATTCCACAGGTCACCTTTGTCTAGCCAAAGAAACTACTTTTACTTTTGCCTCAATAAACAGACTGAACTTGTTTTACTTACTGTGGGTAATCAATGTAGGCCTCAGCCTGATGCTGCCTCCCTCTCCTGCTACAGCTGCCTGGCTAGGCTTGGAGGCAGATGAGAACACTGGACAAGAGGGAATGGCTTCCCACTGCCAGAGGGCAGGGCTAGATGTGATATTGCGAAGGAGTTCGTCCGTGGGAGGGGGGTGAGGCACCGGCACAGGTTGCCCAGAGAAGCTGTGGCTGTCCCATCCCTGGAAGTGTTCCCCAGGTTGGATGGAGAACTTGGTTGGATGGGGCTTGGAGTAACCTAGTGGAGTGGAAGGTCTCCAACCCAAACCAGTCTGTGATTCTATTAAAAGTAACCTAATAAAGTGAGATGGAAGAGTGCCACAGATTAAATGTGAATTGCCACAGATTTAAAGTGAATCAATACCTGCAGGACCAAATTCCAGCAGCAGCAATCTGACAATTACTTAGTGGGAAAATAGAGTTTTCATAATACTTAATGAAAAATTGTAAACCAATGGTAACCCAAACCAGTCTGTGATTCTATTAAAAGTAACCTAATAAAGTGAGATGGAAGAGTGCCACAGATTAAATGTGAATTGCCACAGATTTAAAGTGAATCAATACCTGCAGGACCAAATTCCAGCAGCAGCAATCTGACAATTACTTAGTGGGAAAATAGAGTTTTCATAATACTTAATGAAAAATTGTAAACCAATGGTGCATTCTACCTTATACAAAACAAACTGATAGCAAAATAACCAGCAATTAAAAGAAGATTTGATTAGATAACCTTTTTTCCCCTGGAAATTCTTTTTTCCCTGGGATTATGAAGAGCTTCCTGCAGACCAGAGGTGCTCATGGCTGCCCAGAGATATCAGATAAACTGGATCATTTCAGAGGACATGTAAACACTTCTATCCAAAATAGGTCTCAAAACCCAGAAAGTAAGGATAAATACCCCCTCTGGCCAGGTGAAACGTGACAAAATGAGGCCCAAGGTTTATCTAGATCAAGTCTACTGTCTCCAGCAGCACTTCCAGCTACATTTCAGTACATTTTCCATCTTATTCTTTCCATTCATTATTCTTCACTTTCATGCAAGTCTATTTCAGTAATGCTGTTCAACATGGCAAAATAGTTAAAGCAACTTTCCTCTCCTTATCTTCCCACTTCAGATCCAAGACTGCACAGACGATGCCTTGGCTTTTCACTCTCTGCTGACAGGCAGATTGGGTGGGAGAAAAAGCAAAAATACCACCAAAAAACCCCTGTTGATGCCTGGAGAGTCCCTATAGCTCTTCACATTTCACTGCTTCCCACCAGTGACTCTGTGTCATGGACCATCTCCTCCCAAGGCTCCAGCAGCAGATTCCTGTTCAAGGAGAACATCAGCATTTCAGGGAGACATATGGTGCATATTAGCTAGGATCACAGAAGATGCTGGATGAGCAGTAATGCCTCCCTGATGAGGAGAGACAGCATTTCCACTATCCATAAACCTCTGCAAATCCAGCTGTCTTCCAGCCCCACTGTAGACTGGAGCTGTTTTTCCAGCTGTGCACCATCTTTTTGGGAGAAGCATGGAAAATAACTGCTCCAAATCCTGGTTCAGTTCTTCTGAAACAGGATTTGGGAACCAGCAAGGCAGTCAGGTCTTGAGGCAAATCCTCTTGGCCCAAATATTCACATGTGGAGCAATATGGATTTGGGGAACAAGAAGCCAAAGAGTTTTGGGGGCTTGGGGGGGATAATTGTGGTACAAAGAAAATAAACACAAAGGAGCCAGTGACAAGTTGAGAGATACTAATCAGTTTTATTTTATAAATACAGATGAGCTTTCCTGCAATTACCAACATAGTTTTAATGTGTCATTTACTATGGGATATTCTGGTCTTGCTTATTTTAAATACCTGGTCAAGCAAGGATAAGCCAATGCTGTTGTGCTTGCTAGAAAAATAGAGTGGGATTTGAGCTTCCAAAACTAATATTCTCCAAAATCTCAGGAATTCCTAGTGAGGGGAAAAAGATTGCAATGAAATGCTTTCTCCATCTGAAGATGTTTAACAGTGTCACAGCTGTGCAGGAACTGAAAAGGTCTTGACAGTTGAAAGCACACTGTGATCTATCATCTCATCTTCAAACCTACTGTTTGTTTCTCTCCCACTATGCTATTTTCAAAGTAATTTACAGGGGGGGAATAAAAATAAACCAAATAAAAGAGAAAGCTATGAGGTGGCTGCAGTGTGTACAACCCTCAGCCTCACAGCCATGAGGAGTTGGTCAATGTTTAATCAGCCCTGTGGTGCTGTCCTACCTCACACCATCTGCTCCATGGAAAGTGGTAGAAGTGGAAGAGAAACACAGGGATAATTTAAGGCCTACTAAAGATACATCCATAGAAAGCCCAATCCAAGCAGCTTTGTGTGACAGATGCAGAAATCAACCATCGTGTTTGACACATTAACAATTACAGGGCTCAAACAGGACCAGCAACACAACATCAGGGAGGAAAACTAGACTTCATTTGGTTGGTGCAACCTGAGAAAATGAGCAACTAATGAACAAAACAATAATCCCAAGTCCCACTGATGCTCTACAAACCTAAGTCCACACGTTGAATTGGGCTGAGACAGCCCATGTTTGCCTACAGAACACAGTGACTCCACGAGTACTCTTTGGGCTGCTTTGAAAAGTCACACACAAGCTAATGCCTTTCTGTTATAGAGGAACATAAGTGTGCCTACAAACACGCCTGTGCTGCCTCAAGAGTGCCAGATCCTGTCCCACAGGGTGCACAGCCAAGACAGAGTTAGTGAGTTCCACCTAAAATGACAGTGGTGTGAGGAGATGGTAAAATACAGGCACAGGACAGAGTATCTTATGCTCATCACTAAGTGCTGTGTTTTCAGGTGTTCATTTCTCCCTCTCTATGCAAAGCACAGCAAGAGCTTCCCAACTGTCCCTTCCCAAAGATCATGGCAGTGCTTTAAGCTGCAGCATTTCCTTTAGGGAAGTTTTCATGAGGTTAGAACAGAGGAGCCAAGATACTCTAATGACATGATACTAAGAAAATACTCATGGATGTGTCCTACTTTGCACCTGAAATCATGTTCAGTGTCTTACAGAACTGAGGTCTCCAACTGCTCCCATCTAGCACATAATCCTGGGACAGAGCAGAGACAAAAAAGCTCTGAGAAGCTCCATCCAACCACTCCACTGCAGATACAACTGTTAAAAGCTAACAGAAGAAATGTGAATATCATTTGAATACAATCATTAAGATGTTACCTGCAAGAAAATGCATATTCTAGAACAGTGCTATTATGTATATTGGTTCTCACATACACATCTTGTTTGGACAACAGAGAGCTGAGATTATACATATCCACATTAAGAAGTTAATTTCGGGTAGCCTTATGGTGAAGTTAGGAGAAGACTAGGACATGGGTTCAAAAGAAGGCATAAACCAGGGAGGAAAGAAAAGCCAAAGGTGATGAAGTGGTTTTTAGTCTGCTATGTATTTTGATATTCAGAGCTCCCACGTGAGCCCAGATTCTTGGGTATACAAAACAAGAGCAATGAGATCCAAAGGGAAACAAATACCAGGAAGCACAGACAAGGCTGCAAATTGCTTTCCCATTAGTGCAGCTGAACACATGTGCCAGTGGGAACTTACCCAACAGCAAACTGCACCTCCAGCAAACCTCTGGAAGTCTCTTCCTTTAAAGCATAGGTAGTTAAAACCAGGATATTAATTCAGGTGAATACTGTTAAGTACCTTCTTTCTGGGTGGAGTGATCCCACAAACTGCCCTAATTCCAAAGTGCTGACTGCATTCTCAGGCTGGGAATTTAGGAGGATGGCTGAAGTGCCTCATGGCATGCTGTACCCACCAGACACCTCAGAGGGTGACAGCTGGACCCCATATTGGGAGTGGATTCATTAGGTCTCTGCTGACAAAGTCTGTGGGGAACAGTCAGGCTGAGATTACACAAAACCTTAGAGGTGGTTTAGTCCTCAAGGTTTCCACTGGTAGGAAAAGTATGGAAGAAAGGAGGAGGGGGGAAAGCTTAAAAAATGTCACTTCTGACTAATCAGGTGCAGATATCACACAGGTGCTCGTTCTCTGGCAAGTTCATACTGCCAGTGAAGACTCATCAGTGCAAACCAGAATTTGAAAAGATCCAGAGCTCAGCCAGGAGAAAGCTGTCCACTGGTCACAAACTCCTGGTATTTCTCTGACACTGACTACATTGCTCAAGCAAACACAGGAGTACATGGGAGAAGGGAAAGACATCTTACCATAAATGTACTTTTAAATTAACTTCTTTTTTTTTAACTTCTGCAAAGATTAAAATAAATTTAACTCTACATAATAATTAAAAAATGAACAAATATTTCAGAGAAGGGCCTGATCAGCACTATAAGTTGTTTTCAGGAAAGCTTTTATAAATGGATTCCAATGGCTAAAAAAAAAAAAACAAAAAACAAACTTCCAAAAGATTATAAATACCAGACAAAATGGACTGGAAGCAGAATCCAACTTTACCTGGGATGTGAACACACCATGAACCTGTGCTATCCTGCTCAAGTCCATTTGTCTAACAGCATAGGGATAGCTTTAGCTTGGTTTATTTTTATAATTAATATAAAGAATAAGTGCAATTTTATTTCTATTCCAGACCAGATTTCACCTCAATGTTCTCTCTCAAACTCCTGTCCACGCTCACTTGTCCGAACTCTTCCGTGGCCGACGGAAACTGGACATGTTCTCATTCAGTGCATAGATCCTTCGGGAGAACTCCTCAAACTCCCCTAGGACTTGTTCATCACACTCCACAGCTACAGCATGCTCCACAGGGATGGAGTTCAAGTCTTCCAGCTGCTCTCCTGTGCTGAATCCTGTGGCTTCCATGCCCATGATCTCCTCTGCCTGCTCCACGGTGCAGCACAGGACGGGCCGGAACGCACAAGCCTCAGCGGTGCCGGAGCCCTCCCCAGGCACAACTGCCCCATTTATTGCACTAGAACTTCCCAGGAAACATTCCTGAGGGTTGCTCAGGCTCCCGTTTTCTCCGTTGAAGCTGCTGCACAAGTCCTCACCTTTCTTGGTGTTTCCTCTCATGGAGTCCATGGAGGTGTCCAAGGAAGAACATAAGGATGGAGGTTTTTTCTCCAGCTCTCCCAAACGGGCTGGGAGGGCTACAGGCTGTGTTAAAGCAGAGTTGTAACTGGGAGGAGGAGTTTTGTGCTGGAGTCTCTCATTCCCTGTGCTGGCTCGTTTCCGGAGTCCTTTATCTGGAGAAGGAAGCCCACTGGAAAAGCCAATATCCAACCTGCCAAAGCTTGAGCTCTGTCTCTTTGGAACGGGAATTGCGCTGGATGTGTGGTGTCGATCGCTGTAAAAGGATAAATCACAGCCATCAGGCACATTCAGGAGCAACACAGATGTTTAACCATAAGCTGAGACGATTATTTCATCCCAACTCCAAGCTCTGTTTGCCCAACTACTTATATCCTGAAGTGCTAAAACCCCCAATGTGTTTAGTGCTGGAGGAACCACAGAAGACACCCCAGAGGACAACTTTGCTGAAAACCAGTCAGGTGGTGTAAGAACACTTACAAAGCTCTTTGGTTTGGAGAGTCAATCACCCAAGAAACCACCACGTTATGTTAATTCACACTGTTAACACCATTTTATAGGGCTAAGCTGCACTTTATGAATTATTGCTGTTGACTGTGTGTTTATGTAGTTATGGCCTGGACTGGGCCATCAGAAACTCTTCAAAAGTGAGGAATAATGGCTGAATCCTCTATGAGCAAAGAATCCAACAGAGGAGTTCCCTGACAGCTGCACAAAGGAGGAAAACCACACCAAACTGCTGTTTGCAGAGGATTATTCCTGCCAGATCTTCTGCTTTTCTGTGCCAGTCATTCCCAAACTTTCTGGAACAACGTCAACCTCCGTTTCTTGAGGAACAGGAACTAATCAAGCTTAATTTACAGGTTTGACTTTACTCTTTAATACAGCTCCACAAACCACTTGCACTGTCTCAGGGTCTGTAATTTGAAACATAAGTTTTACATCATCTTGGGGGTGTTTTTTGACTTCATCAGCTTAATCCTTATCCAGCCTATATGTAAATAGTGAGCGGTACATTAATGTGAGAAACCAGGTCATTTTCCTTCCAAATTTAAAAAAT